CTTTATGTTCACATCATGGCGATAAGAAAATTTAGCAAGATGCAGACAAACAACAATCATGACAGACATGCAACTTTTCATCCAATCTGCATTACAAAAAAGATATTTTGAACTATTAGAATTATAAAACTGCGAAAGGCTGAAAGACAAGACATTTAAAATGTAATTGAAAAAATACTTACTGCAAACTTTGAAATGCTGCTTTATTATCACCATATCTAACTCTGTACTGTAAAGCTGCCAAATCACTTGCTTCTTTCTTTGTGCATTTATGGTAGCCTTTAAGTAATTTGGGTAGTTCCTGATGGAAAGTTAAAAACCATTGGCAAAATTGAAGAAATCATGAATTAATAAATAAGAGTATCCCATATTTCAAAAAACTGATGCAGATTTATTGATAAAAATTCTAGCAATATTATTGGTATATTTTAGAAATTTACTGTGGTGATAATTTGACATTTTACACAGTGAAGCCATACCATATAATTGATAGAGATTGATTGATTGAAACTCATGGACATTAATTGATAATTGAGACAAACGTTAAGTAATGTCCAGGAGTAGCAATCAATATATCTCTATTGATTGGATGTAAGGTAATTAAGGTTCAACATAGTCAAATACATTTATGCGATGTCACATAGAATTTAGACCCATACAATCTGTATAAATACTGCCAATACAATCGTCGTTGATTCTGCGTCAGAATTTAACCCATACTATCTGCGTAAATACTGCCAACACAATTTTGGTTAATTCAGTGCCAGTTTGATGACATTTAAAGTGATTGGATACTATGATGACACAGGTAACTAATAAAAAAAAATATAATTTATGCCAACTTTTATTTTGGCCTTGGGTATGTGATGTATCGCCTCAGATTCTAATTGTGGTGCAAACCCTGTAGCTACTTACCTGATGATAATGAAAGATGTAGTCCGCATTTACATCTTTACCAGGGACAACATTCAGCCACAACTTTCTCATAAAATAGATCTGATAACTGCCAAATTTGCCTATTAAACAGAAACAAAGTATTTGTACTTATCTTATAATGGTGTTTTAAATGTACTTTCATCTTTTTTAAATAAAAAATATATACAAAATCAAAATGAAAGAATTTGAAAATAATATATAATCTACAATTCAACGACCTAAACATTATTCCATGAGTGAATGCAGAATACTTTCATCAGTGTGTCGCCAAATTGGATTGGATTTACAGTTTATTTCACAAACCTGCATCTTTGGGATTCATGGCTCTGTTCCAATCCATAGCGGTCCGTATAAAGTCGAAAAAGAACTCATTGTCGGGACAACTGAGCACTGCGAGAAAAAGTAGATCACTCGAATCAATCAGGGAATAAAGTGAATAGAAAATACTTTTTAAACTTTTATCAGTTTTTATAATAATTTTTATAAACATCTTCTCATCACTCAAATCAATGCATATAAAATAAGTATTCCAACTATCTGGGTCCAAAATTCATGAAAAATTACAAAGATTAAGAGAAAGATTTGCAAACCAGTGAGTTAATTTGCCATCAAGCCAGCCAATTACTATCCAAGACTACAATACACAAAATTAAAGATCTGTTATGTTTTACCAATAATTCGCAAAAAAATATAATTATACCTTTGTCAGAAAATGTTATAAATAGACTTAGTCCCTCTTTACAGACCAGTTTCAACTTGCCCACGATGTTCTGATGCATATCAATAACTTTTGTACAAGAACTGACAGTGAAAAACTGTAACATAAAACAAAATTTGAGTTTTGATCAATGATAGGTCAAAGGTGACCATGGAACACAATACTGACGATGTTCATCCGCAAAAGGCATTATTATGGGTCCAGTTGATTTTTAATCATTGTGCAAGTTTATTTATTTCATATAATTGTTTATTTCACACACAAAAAATAACACACTATAAACTGTGAAACCTAACCAATGAACTTCACTTTTAAAAACTAACAGCATAAATTAACATAAATTAACATAAATTAACAGCATTACATAGTATCAGTACACCCACGTAGGCAAAGGCCTAATCACATTAACTAGAAGGTATCTTAATGTGTCCTTCCACATATGACATAACATAGTCCCAGATATTGACTACACAGATTAATCAGATAGGCAGGTTTGTTCATACCTCAATATGGCCATTTGGGAAGAGCACCTCGTGTAAAATTTCGTCTCTTTTATTTTGCACTGCTTCAATCTCATAGATATGTGGTGGCTGTTTGCGGTTTCCATTTTGTAATGTCATCTGCAATCGACGATAACTCTGTGAAGCGGCATCAATTTTATGTCTTGATTGTAGGAACTTTATAACTTCCGGCAGTAGTCCTTGGCTGCAGACAAAGAGCCCTGTCACTAACCACATTAGCTCCCAGCATCTTTCCTCATACGCTCTGTGAACAATATCACAATAAGGATAATTATAACACTGCTTTGTACACGTTATAACAGGGACATGTGACACATGATTTGAACATGTTAATCAAATGTGAATAAATTAAATACACATGAACACTTGTAAACACATTAAATGCAATGTGGACACTTTAAATAAAAATTAATATGTTCATATTCTGTGCCTATACTGTTCAAATTTGATTTAATATGTTAATATTTTTGCAAATTTTACTGAACTTTTACATCTTGCAAATTCTTGATTAAAGAGTTTTGGAAAAAAAATATGAAAAACATTAATCTGAATTATACTGTGATTTTTATTTACCTGTCCTGGTTATTGGTGAGTTGTTTGATAATTTGACAATAAGTTTCATCCCGCAGTGGTTCATATACAATAGCTGGTCTAAATATCTGATCTGTCACATCTGTACAGGCTTTAGTCTTTCTCACTTCATTCATATATTTTAATATCAGTGAAATTATAAGGAAATATTTACTTGCAAATGTGAGCATTGTGAGTTGAATTGAAAGTGAGATTGACAATTTTAACTGATGATAGTATATTTACCTTTCTATCTTAAGAAAATTAAAATTTCTAATAAGAATTTTTTATATGAATATTAATTAATTCCTTATGTGAATTATCATGCCATAGACCACAATGAAAGCGAATTTCCTCGATAAAAACCAGCTAAAAATATTGTCAATTTTTGAATACTTTAGACTTTAAAAAGTACCTTGTAAAACACTTCTATATATTTTGTTTTCACCATATATCACCTGAGCAAACTTTGCGATATTTAGAGATATATAACAGAAAAAACATGCTATTTCACTTCATTTTGTACATCGTTTTTTTTATGAACTGAATACAGTGACCCCATATTTCTATTCCATTTTCTTCATCCTCATGAGATGAAATATCAAATATGTAAAAATGACAACATTTTTTGTTTATGTGTAGCATTCTACCTTAAAAAAATCATTTCTTAAATTTGTTGATAAGTCTGTGTTGATTCCATTGTATAATGTGTCCCACAACAAGAAAGGATATTGGTGAAACTAGTAACAGCCAGTTTTGCCAGGTCTTGATTGATCAGTGATTTCTTCAACAAGGGTTCTTTTAAATTCTCTTGGCTAAAACTCCATAAATTTTCTTCGTCCTGCTGTTTCCATAACTTGCCTTTCTTACCCAGGGGTCTGTAAATAACCAACCAATAGAAGATACATAAACTGCAAACATTGTCGTTCATTATCAAATACCATGAAATAGCATTATTTTGTGCGTTTTTGAGAAACATGTCCTGATATTTTTTGAAAATTGCTATTTTTAGAATTCCATACAACACAATGTTAAAGAAAAATATGCATTTTTGAAACTTTTTAAAACCCAGTACTCCATCATTAAAAATATATGATTGTTTCAGCCTATGTCACCAGGCTAGATTTTGAGATATTGCATAATATCTCTGCCATAGAAACCTATGGGGAAAGTGTTTAATATAATAGTATCAAAATGGCAACTTTCCACTAAAATACAACCATCAAGTTTTTGAAAAGATATGTTTGTGTTTCTGGTCATTATGCATGTCAGTTAAAAATGTATGCGTCACAGAATTTTTGGTTTTGGTTGAAAAAGGAAAAATAAAAGCACAGACTATTGAGACAATCATAAAATAAATATCTGCAAGTATAAATATAAGGATGACCAAATTTTTTTTTCTGGGCCTTATGAAATGAATAGTTAATTTGTTGATAAAATTTGTAAAACATCATAACGAGAGATTAGTGGTAGATGTCAAGCTTACATGGTATCACATTAAAAAAATATTCTCATGACGAAAAGTGTAAAACATATATGCTCCAAGCTCACCTGAATTGCTTCCTGGCAAAGTCTTTCAATGTGTGCAGCTCTCCAAGCTGAACTGTGTCATAATACCACAATAATAAAAAAAAAAATTAATAGATGTGAACATAAACATTATCTGTAATATCTTAAAAAATATTATTTTTCAATAATAATTAAAGCAGGAAATTTAAAGTTAGCAAATATCAAAAGTTATATTTTACATGGCTTTCTATCCATCGAGACTTCTTTCTGAGTTAAATCGATGTCTTCCCATTGGTCCATTTTCTTGCCACTATTCCAGTTAGCATCCTGGCTGTGTTCTTCGTCGCTATCAATACCAAGTTCATCCATTGTTGCCACATTCTTTTCAATTGTGGCCGCCATGATATCTTCATTAACAGTAGCAGCCATCCGGCTGACCCTATTGTATTCACCTCAATGATGTCTGTTTGTCAAGGGCGGCTGCGAAAATAAGAGATCCCCAGTGTCTATAATCTTATTTCTGGTTGTTGATAGAAACATTTGAAAAGTGCATTCCACACAAATATACACAACAGAAAGTAAATTCCAAGGAGGGCATAAACAATGCTACTTTTGTTTTTCTCAAACCTTGCGTATTGCTCACATATATATTTTAAGATCTGATTCAGTAGTAACTTTTTACGCTTATGTTTCCAATGACATAAAAGTGAGTTAAGAGACAACTGAATGATCCTCGTATAAACGTGTTCATCCAAGCACAGTAGTATAACAATAGATAAGGTCAACGAGTTATATAAACACAATGTAGCTCCATGTTTCACCTCAGGTAGAGTACATTCCAACTAAATCACATTACAGGGTTCACAATAGGTTATATTCAAGTTGGTGCCTTTATAGGATCTGTGTTATTTCCATGTTACACTGGGAGGTATAACTGCTTGCAAGATATATACACAACTTCTAAGGGTAAAATACTATGCATTATCAACACCATAAGTTACAGCGTGCCGTAATTTTGCGGTATTTTACAGGGTATTTTCATCCTACCATATTAGGAAATAAGAATTCCAAATATGGAATGATGGAATGATCTAATAATAAAAACAAACATGGCTGCCACCAGGGTTTGACCAGACTCCACACAAAGAAGTTCGCTGATTTTGTTCTAAACGTTTTGATTTGCGTCATTCCCATGATGTATCATTGAGAGCAAAAGATGTATAATATAAGGTTATTACAAGGATACCGTAAAGTATGCACTTAGACAGTACGCCGATACTTCTGCAGTACTGTCTTCGTGCATACTTTATGGTATCCTCGAATAACCACATATTATCCATTTTTCAACAAGTGAGTCATCAAACTTGTGATGAATATAGAGAGCTTATTTTGAATACAATTTGCAGGAATTACACATTTGAACATAATTTTAATTTTCTTATTTTTTTACATGATACAATCACTTACATCATGTTTTGTTAAATTTGTAGTGGTACATGTACTCGACAGATGTGCATCACAATAAGATGCGTTTTTTTATGATCTAGTATACAATAAAATTATTACAGATTAATATTAGAGATGCATTTCTAAAAACAGTACACACAAAAGACTAAAAACCTTGCAGAACTGTCTCCTTTTAGTATCATGGCTTGAGGACATACCTGGTGATCTATGTGTTGTTATTTAATAGTTACTCTGGGCTAATTGCCAAGAATAGTTTACACAATAATCATCAACACTCTCCTTCCCTCTGGCTGACTGGAGATAAGCAACCACTGACAAACAGATGTTATTAGCATTAATATTTGTAATTCTTAACACATATCCTGATGCTGTTTTCCTCATTCACTTTGGCTATCAGTGGAAATTTTTAGCAGGTAATACGTCAGAGCAAAACCACCAGTGAACACATTTTCCTTATTTTGCTCAACTTCATTGTAAGTAATTGCAAATATTCTACAAATTCATGGCACAGTGTTAGAGAAGTTCAAGCATCTGAACAAAAACATAGTTAAACTAAACACGACTTGCCCTGTATATTTTGAGTGGATCTGCATATAGCTAAGGTATAACAGTGTCTGATACTTGGTTAAATACAACTAATAACGGATAAATAGAGCAATTTTGTAAAATGGTTGTAATAATTCCATTCAAGGGTTTTTCTAAAAAAAAATGAACAAGAGGGAGCAAACACAGGTGATCGATCTCGAAACGCCATATTGGAAAGTTTCTGCACTGTTTTAACGATGTATCTATTGCCATTGAAATATTTTTGGAGTAATTTTAGTGTATTTGGTGTCCAGACACATTGTCAGCTGGTGTTGCTGGGAAGTTTTTACGGAGAAAAATAAATTTGAGAAAGATTTCATGTTGTACGGCAGCACGGAAGTACACGGCTCAAGAAATGTATTTATGACTTGAAAGTGCAATCGGCAATTCGGTAAGAGGGCAGCTGAGAGTATCAGGGCGCCGCACCCCTGTTCCCCAGTTTAGAAAAAAAACCTGCTAACAATATTGTCTGAACGTGATACTGATAATGAGTGATAACAGAACTGCTGGTAATCTTACAACCACTTGATTCAATGAGTCTGGTAAAATAATTGTACGTATCTGGTGAGGGAAATGTTGTTCTAGGTTTATTTCTGACACAGAATATTTATCATTATCAAATATTTTTTGTGGTGAACGTAGAGCTTATATTATAGTTATGTTATTATAATCTGTAAATGAGAACTTGTTCTCAAGACAAATGAATTGATTGGAATATATCCCAAATACTTTTTAAAGTTAAAGAAATTACACATATACAAGACACATCTAATATATCAATAAATATTTATAAAATGAATGACCCTTTAACACAGCCAAATGCTATTGGTATATTTATACAAATTGATAAAGGACTTAGAAGGATCACATCCATATTTTGAGAAGACTATTTGCTGTGATTTATTGCTGTGAATAGACAGTTCAGCATTTCAAAATAATTTGATCAATTTTCTGCAGTTCAATAAAGTTGATTATTCAGAATACTAGACTGTATGCAACATGTATAAAATAACATTATGATATGATATGATATGAATTTTATTCAGTACAATGGCCTCAGGCCTATGGTACAATAAATCAAAAAATAGAAAAATACATACAGATAATTGTTGAATCTACTAGTCACAACTGGTTAAGTAGATTGACTCTGTGTTTAGAAGCGTAGAATACACATTTCAAAATTTGAAGTACAGATAAGTTGTCAAACTGCATTAAACGAAGAAATTTTTCGTAAGTCTGATTTGACAGATAAAATATAGGTAAATATTTTTTTCTAAGATTTACATAACGTGGACATACAAGGCAAAAATGGTATTCATCCTCAACCAACCCTAAATTACATAATTTACAGATTCTCATATTTCTCGGTATGTTTAGTTTACGATCAGATTCAACCCGAAGGTTGTGGGATGATGTTCTAAGCTGACATAGCGCAGAACGTAACTTATTATCTTTTATTAAATGCAAATACTTTTCACATCCAAAACCGATCTTAAAATCTCTGTATTTATCGAGTTTAGGATAATTGTTGAGATCTGTAAACCAAGTTTGTTTATACATATCATGAACTCTTTGGGTGAATAGAGACAAAAATGAACAGTTATCTTCCACGCCTTGGTTTAACCAAACCGTGCGAAAATAGTAGTTCTTTGATTTGGAAAGCCCAACATTTACGGTTGTTTTCCGCTTCTTTATACTGGAAAAGGTAACAATGGTAAACATAACGCTATGTTTGCATTTTTAAAATTTTCAACCAAAATTTAATAATACGTATGTAACGCAAATGGATTAGTGGTAGTCTACCTAATTCTCCATAAATTACAGGATTTGCTGTGGTTGTAAGCAAATTTAAAATAAATTTACAAAACTTGCGATGTGTTTCCTCAATATTTACCCCTTTGTCAAAACCCCAAACTTCACTGCCATGCATCAATATTGGTAAAATTTTACAGTCAAAAATCTTTAAATACATTTGTACATCAATATCACTGTATTTTGCTAGTATCTTATTTAAAGCAAATATTGCTTTACTCGCCTGCTCGGCAATCACTTTTTGGGATATAAACCAGTGACCATTATTCGAAAAAGTAATACCCAGATAACAAAAATTAGGCACAACCGGAAGTTGTTCACCATTGCAGTGCCATTTCTCAAATAACATTATAGCAATGTTAAAATGAACAAAAACCAACTGTGAGAAAAATATAAATAAATACAGTCAGATCCTGTAACATGTGTTTGACATTTTGACTTTATAATTTAAAAACTATTATATACTGTTCTAAAATAAGATGCAACTCAGATTGGTGAAATATGTGACACATGCTATTCTACTTATAAAAGGTCCTTATAAAAAAATTATAGTTGCGTTCACGCACAGCTCCTTAGCACGGGCTAAGAGGTCAAATTCCTTAGCCTGTGCTAAGCGAACGTGCATGAACGCTTAGCACGGGCTAAGGAATACTAAGTACAGGTTAAATCTGATCCGAATTTTAGACGCGGTCTAGACCCTTAGCACGGGCTAACAAAGTGTGCGCGAATGCTTAGCCCAGGGCTAAGCGCCCTCTGCAGCGACCTTTGGGTGTGATCAAATATATCCAACTTTCTCATTCCCAAAATGGCAACCGAGCTCAGTGTACACGCTTCTACACTGATCGGGTCGCTGTAGTAGAGCATACAGCAGCTCCAATCGTAGACAAAATAAATTTGGTTCGCTGTCTACGACATACATTAATAAAACTCTGTATTCTGTTATGCCATTGTATACTGTTTCTGTGCATCCAAATAAGTTGGGTCCATCTTTTTTCGCGTTCCTGTGCACGTCGCTTCAAAATTTGAACGAAACATGTCAGCAGCAGAAATAGAACCTCGCGTGTGTCATCCATTTTTCGTTCGTAAATAGCGGCTTGACCAAAGATCACCGACTGATGGTGCCCCTTAACCCGTGCTAATGACTGGCCCTCCCTGTGTGTGGACGCAATTGAGTCTAGCCGAAATGCAAATATGCCAGATAAGCCTAAATCTTAGCCTGTACTTCGTGTAACATGAACACAACTTATACAAGAGAACTGGTGATGGCTATGAACCATAACTGCCTCAGCACAAAGGCTGTTGTGTAATACCAGGGAATGTAAAGGGAAATGTATGTAGTGTTACCTCTGTGTAATTTACAATATATCTTAATTAACCTTCACTATTAAGGACAATATGGAAGTAGAAGCAAGGCTACGCAAATTTTGCGAAATAGTAGTTAGTTAAAATTACCAGACATTGTGGGATATAAGAAAGTGGCCTATTAACCCATGAAACATACTCGCACATATCCGTACATATCATCCTGTCTTAGTGTGTGGGGGTAAAGCTGTCATGTACACATTCATAATAACTGGAAATGGTTTCACAACAGAAAAAAGTGTTATTGCTGTAAATAATTATGAACAATAAAAACTTAAATTTAGAAAAACTACGAACAAAAAATAATGAAAGTCTGTGATTTTCTGTACAGTTTCCAGGAAACTATTAACCAAACCATAACATTTATAAGTGAGATTCACTTCGAGTATATCAGAAATACTCTTACAATTGCATACGAGTCGTCAAAACGTACAGTTTGGTGACATAAATGTTGTATAGTTCAATATGCATACAACCACCCATGCACTAGTACATTTTGACAATATACCCCTCTTTCACATTGTGCAAATACAAACAAGACATTAAACTTTCCTGACAGTAACATGTAAGCGTTGTATTAACCCGAATGAAAAGTCTTGAGTCACGGCGAATACTTCTATCGAGTCGCCCATTTAAAAATCTCTTCAACTATCCAAGGCCAATCATTAATGTGCTGGGTCATTAATTAAATAATATTAATTTATTTATTAACACATACACATTCCCCGGAGGGATTGGCAATGGCTACAAATGTTTAAGAAAGAATAAAAGGTTAAAAAATTAAATAAATAGAATAAAATAAAAACATACAAAAAACTAAGCTAATACATTACTGTAACAGAGAAAGAAAATATTAAGACTAAATTATTATACAATGATAGAAAAAATGCAAAACTTAACTGGGAAAGAAAACTGTTGTCTTATTTCAGAACACTTCGTTAGGTACCTTGCTACAGGGAGTGTTAGACCATAGCAAGG